AGAAGTGCAGGAACAGCGCATGGACTAAGGCTCTCCTTAATGAATCCTCATTGAAGGAGTTCATCAACTTGTTTCTTCCGCTCAGAATGTTCAGTCGGGTTCATACGGTAGTGAGGGAGGTTGGGCAGCGATGCTCCCGGCACTAAATCTATCGCGTGCTGTATGTCCTGCAGGGGTGGCAGTCGGTTAGGCAAATCCTCCGGAAATACATCAGCAAAGTTTTTAAGAAGAGGCTTAACGGCATCGGGGATTGGTTCTTTCTGGTCCTCATCTACTTCTCTAGCCACTAGGGCATACATGGGTGCTCCTTGGGTGATCTCAGTTTCCACCTCTTTCGCAGTCAATAAGTGGAGACCTTTACTTTGCTTGACAGGGATAGGCTTAGCTTCAGTTTTGGGAGGTTTAGGTTGAGAGGGCATTAACTTGATCTTCTTTTCATTATGTTCGAACACACAGGTGTTCGTCCTCCCATAAATATGGACGTCGTTGTCAAATAACCAAGGGCGACCAAGGATAATTTGACCTACGTCCATGGTTAGAACATCACACCAAATCTTATCCTGATATCCCACAAATTCTATAGGAATAAGGCTTCGATCCTTAATTTCTATGGTAGTCGAGTTGATCCAAGAAACCTTATATGGATTTGGGTGAGGGGTCACCTTAAGATTGAGCTTGGAAACCATGGCTGAAGAGACTGCGTTGATACAACTTCAACTATCTACGATAACTTTGCAGCTCTTTTCTCCGATCTTAATAAAGGTATGAAAAATTGAGGTTCTGCGCCAATCATCACTTAACTTAGGTTGGGCCAAAGCGCCCCTAACAACTTGCAGGGTAACGGGCTCTTCTTCAGTAAAAGAGTCTTCTTCCTCATCCACTTAGCGAATCAAATCGGTCTCAGGTTCTTCATCCTCCTCGTCCACCTCTTCAATTATGGTGACTTTGTAAGGACTAGAGCATTGCGAAGCAATGTGTCCATACCCATGACACCTATAGCACTTGGTTCCAGAATTGGGTTTGGGAGTGTCTCGTTCGGGGGCTTTACCTTTGAGGTCCGTGCGAGGTGGGACCGAACTACCAGGGGTTCGGCTTGCAGTCGATCCCGAGGGTCGGTTTTGAGGTTGTCCAGACGAGGTTCTGTACGAATTCGAGCAGGAGTCAAAGTGGCTTGTTTGGGAGTGGGTTTTAGAATCTTCGAGGTCGAGAACTAGGCTATAGGCTGCCTCTAACGAATCTACACCTCGAGCAAAAAGTTCAGTGCGTAGATCTTCCCTAAGGCCAGCTCTAAACATGGATAGGATTTGAGTTGGGGTGGCCGACTCTTCGCCATTGCAACAGATCAGGAAGTCCTCAAAGGCCGAGATATAGTCTTTGACGGGCTTGCTCCCCTGGGTCAATCTATTCCATTTATCAAGAAGCTTCAGGTAGTACGAAGGAGGGAGATATTTTCTCTTAAGTTCCTGTTTCATCATCCTCCAATCCGTGATAGGGTGCTCGCCTCGAGCCTCGCGCATATTCTCTAAATTGGTCCAATACATGTTGGCTCGGCCCGTGAGTTTCATTTCAGCAAATCTAACCTTCCTAGCCTCTGAGAT